TTATTTATTTATTCATTTATTTATTTATTTATTTATTTATTTATTTATTGGAGGAACCAATAATTAAACTCAGGCCCTTGCACTTGCCTTATTCTACTGAGCCACCTCCCCGGCCCTGACTTTCCCCTTTAATTTGTTGAAGAGTCGGGTCCCTGGAGACCAACAGACCACTGAAGAATTATTATTAATAAAATTCTAACAGAAGCAAAGAATTTGAGTAGAATAAGATTTAACTGATTCACTCTATAACTTTGAATATTATCCATATCCTTTCTTAAAGTGGAAATTAAAGGAGAATAAGCCAAATTTCCTGGGAGATACTTATTAACAGCCAATCAGACAACTTCAGTCTCAGAACTTTCCTTTAATAAAGAAGAAAAACATATTATAAAACAAAGATTTCCATTCCACTGTGGGAAGCTCACACCATTCTCTCGGGTGTACGTTACATATCGCTGTTGCTGTTCTGTATTTGCACAGTATTTGTATTGATTCAGCATTTTCTACTCTGAACCACAGATTTAAAACAGACACTGGAAAATCCTGGATCTATCCTAGATAATCAATCTGTACTATATTTATTCATTTATATGAGTGTGTGTGGCCAGGTCAGCCCCTGCAGGGGGCAGGGCTGGTGCCCATGTAGTGCTGGGGATCAAACCATGATCCCTGCACTTGCCTAAACTTGCCTAAGCAGGAGCTTTAGACCACTGAGCTATCTTGCTGCCCCAATCTGTGTTTTTTCTTTTAGTTTTTTGCTTGCATTACACCATAGGGTTCGTTGTGATTTTTCTGGTCTATATTCCTGTTCTTTCACTGGGCTGGGCCATGGCCTTAATCTTTCATGTTGTACCAGGTACAGCAAAATACATGATCTATATACAATGAATTCTCAGCATGGAATGAGTGTTCAAATAGATATATGAATACTGAAGAGGACTCCTAGCCTAGGACTTGGGAGACATTGTCTAATATACTTTTGGTGACTTTGTTAGGCAGCTTTGTGTAATAAATATACAAATTAATCAATTTAGAAAGAAAAAAGAGTTGTCTTAGCTAATGAGTTCAGAGATTTCAGTCCCTGGTTACTTGTTCTGTTGCCTTGGAGCTGTGGGCAGGCAGCACAGCAAGAGGTAAGGTTAGCTCTCAGGGACAGGAAGCAGAGACAGGTGGGGAGAAGAAAGGGGTCTAGTACCCCTTTGCGGGCACCCCCAAGTGACTTAACTTTCTCTGACTTAGCCTGATTTATTAAGGATTCTGTCACCTCTGGTTAATTCCACAGCCTGGCAAATAAACCTGAAACCCATACATTTTGGGGACACTTAGCCAAAGTGCAGTAATGATGTTGGCCCAATAGCCTCATTTCTTCAGCTTTGATTTCTTCATATGTATAAAGGTTAAACAATTTCATCTTTAAGATTTTAGGTAGAAAATTAACAGAAGAAATCAGAATATAGGGGTTCTAATCGTATTTAACATTATTTTTTGACTTCTGCCTCCTTAATTTTCAGGAAGAATTGGTTAATTTACTGTTAAATAGTGAATGCAAAAAATTTCTAGCAAGTGAATGCCTACTACTTAAATGAAAATATTTGGGTTTTAAGCCATTGCTTTCTAAGAAAAAAAGTTCTATCTTTTTCCCCCTTAAAATTCTTACTGAAAAAGCCACTTATTTCAAGCTAGCAAGGCATAGTTAACTAAAAGTAGTCAATAATCAATTTTCTATGAATTCAAATGTTCTATGGTTAGTTGAAAAATTTCAGTTTACAAATAACACAGAATTCTCTGTGCTTGGGAGGCTTGCAGTAGAAGCCCTTCAGGGGATCCTTTGATGGAACCCCGGCTGGCTGTTGATGTGCTAAACAAATACGTTTGCTCCGATATACAACTAATTAAGGAGACTCCGCTTTAGTTTTACCGCCATCTCCTCAGCAGGACCCACTAAGGGTGAAAATACAAATGCAACTAGCGTTCTGAAAAGGGGCAGAGGTATATCTCAGGGACAGATGAGCAATCTCAGCAGGAATTTACTATTTTAAACTTTATTTTCCCAATATAGTTATTAAACATTTCATTTTCTCATTAGGTACATAACATATGGCTGTGGGGTGCTGACTCCTGCTAGCATCTCCCTGCAGAAGTTTCTCCCATGAAAAATGCTTTCTAGTAAGAAATTATGGGTAAGATTATTGGTAAGGCTGCAGCAGGAAGGCAGTGGGCAGACTCACGCGCTTCATATCTGAAACCAATGTACGACACAGTTAGATTTTCAGGATTAGCCTTTATATCCTTGCCTATGTCTTCTTACTCCCTTGCCCTTAAAATAAAATTAACATGGGTAATTATTTAGAAGGCTGGGTTCACATCATGACTTAGTTTCTCACCCTTTCTGTTATGCCAAAAAAAAAAAAAAAAAAAAAAAAGGTCTCATGGT